AACAATATTACACAGATAAAATCAATATATGTTAAAAATCTCAGGAAATCCAAAAAGTGTTCAAATATGAGAAAAACCAGTGAAAACAATTAAAAATAGTAAAAACAGTAAAAACAGTCAAAAATTGTTAAAACTGTTCAAAACAGTTCACAAAATCAGAAATCTGCTCAAAACAGTTAAACTGCACAAAAATTTGTAACTTCGATGAAAATCAGATAAAATCGATGAAAACCAGATAGATCACTGATTAAAATGCGAAAATGTAAAATCTTGAAAAAAAATTGGTTTTGAAAAAAAAAATTCAAGTTTTGGCAAAGAAAGCTTCAAAATCGGATGAAATGTATAAATTTGGCTAAGTGAAATCCAAATTTGGATGAAGCTTGAAAAATGGCTAGGTCAAATGACCGATGATAGAATCTGGGTGAAACAAGTCGTGAATGGGAAAGGCTAACTCGGACAAAGGGATGCATGAGGAAAGTAAGCCGCTTGGCCGAGGAAGGAGGTAATCTAGACACGGGATGAAGGGAAGATCGCTGGCCGAGGATGGTGCAAGTCCAGACACGGTGAAGTCCAAAGAAGGATGCGATACGGACAAGCTAGTGTCCGGGTAAGGAAGCGAGAAAGGTGATCGCGACCAAGTCTTGAACTCGGGTGAAACCTAATCTGCCTAAGACTATGATCGAGGATTTTATAATCCAGATGGCCCTTTGTGCAAGGTTGGCAAGTCTCCAGGTCAGGCTTTGTATGATTTACCTTGAATCCGGCTAACTTTGTGTGTGATGTAGCTTAGTGTCCTAAATCCTAAATCGTGTAAGCCTGTGATCGGTAAACACGAAATCCGGACAAGGCTGTGTCCGGATTACAAAATGAAAATATGGCTAAGTAGAATCCGGCTGGGCTTGTGAATGATTTAGGCTAAAGAAATGGTTTAAGTATGTAATCCGGGTAACTCTTGAATGCAAAGAACTTTGAATCCGATCAAGGAATGAGCGATTTAAACCATGTATTATGTTATGAACGATTTAGACTCAAATTAATCCGATCAAAACACAACAAAAACAACTACTTTTTCACCAAAATTTGGATCAAAATCTGACTTTTTCATGAAATTTTAAGAACATCAAAACTTTTCAAAAATCACAAATTTCAACAAAACTTGAAAACGAGCGGTCAAATCACAAAATTTTGTGAATAACAAAGATTCACTAATCAATTACACATACAATGATCATCATTTTAATATCAAAACATGAAAATTTGAAAGATTTATGAAGAAAAGTCTTGAAAAAAGGAAGAACACTATAAGAACACAAGATGAACAAAAGATGAATTCCAAAAAATTCTTCAAATTGGTGATTTCTTCAAATTAATTTCACTGCATTTGACTCTGATACTAATTGTGTGTCCCACAATACGATCAATCTTCAATTACCAACATGATTCTATGGCAATCATCATATGAACAACAAGAACATGAAAAACAAGTAGAGAGGAAAAGTCAAACAGTCAACCCTTTCTATTTCACTCTCAATATACGTAATGTTTACAATGAGCTCTATCGCTCTCTCTCTCTCTCTCAATCACTAGAAGACAAAACCTATTTATAGGTCAAACAAAGTAAGTTGTAGTTAAAGTCAACAAATACAAACAAAGTCAAAGCACACTAAAATACAATTATAAACCTTTCGAGACAAATACAATTTAACTCTAGAATTCAATCCTAACAATTTCTTTGTTCGCATCACCCTAATTTTTCGGTCAGTCACAGCTTCTGGTGTTTCCACAAAGTTCAGTTTATTGTCAAGTTTAACTTCTGGAAGCGATACAGCTAGACTTGGATTAGCTAAACATTTTCGCAGGTTTGACGCATGGAAAGTGTTGTGGATTAGGCTGAGCTCTTCCGGTAGTTCTAACTGATAAGCCACTGGCCCAACCTGATTGCAAATTCTGAACGACCCAACATATGTCGGACTGAGCTTACTTTTCCTTCCAAAGCTGATAACACCTTTCCATGGAGAAACTTTTAACATCACAAAATCACCCACACAGAATTCAATCGGCTTTCGACGATTATCAGCATAGCTTTTCTGGCGGTCCTAAGCTGTTTTGATACATTCACGAATTTGTTCAATCTTTTCAGAAGTCTCTTGAACGGTTCTGGACCCGTCAACGGCCTCTCACCCACCTGGTTACAATTTCCTTAATATAAATCTGAGCCAACTTTTCTAAAGAGTAGCCTTCTCTAATAGGTAAAAAATGCACAGATTTAGATAAGCAATCAACAATTACCCAGATCGCGTCATACCCTTTTGGAGTTCGGGGTATTTTCATGACAAAATCCGTTGTAATGTGATCCCACATCCATACAGGAATCTCCAAAGATTGAAGATTTTTATAAGGTCTCTAGTGTTCGATCTTAACTTGTAGACACGTTATACATTATTCCACATACCTTGCTATATCCTTCTTTAATCCGGGCCACCAATAAAAAAGTTTCAGATCTTTATACATCTTATTTATACCTGGATCTATAGAGTAACAGGACTTATGACTTTCATTCAGAATAACTTTCCGAATATCCCCATAGCACGGTACCCAAATTTGTCCCTTAAAGCACATAATTTCTTCATTATTTGATTCCAGAGTAGAAATTATTTTACCCATTCTTTCAGACTTTATATGATCCTCCTTTACAACTTCCTTCTGACATTTCAAAATTTCTTTATGAAGATCAGGAGCTAAGTTTATTCTCATCGCCACAGTGTTAATTGTTCCACTTCTTTCTTTTCTACTTAAAGTGTCGGCTACCACGTTGGCTTTTGTTGGAACCCATATACTCTTAATTTGCAGAAATATTGTTTGTGTAAAATAAGAATTAAGAACAACAAAGTATTTCTATTGATTAAACAAGATATTCAAAGAAGAAAGTAAAACAGTAAATAATACTTTGAATAACCGAATGCTTTTATTGATAAAGATGAACAATTTAAGAACAAAAAGTAATCTCGCAAGAATTCACGTATAGTATAAGTCGGCTCCTTTAGGTACTTTGAACCTGAGGAGGAGCCTCCTTATATACGCCTAGGCCTAACAAACTATGCTATAAAAAAGGCGTGGAACTCTGAGCTAACTAGTCTGCATCCTTATCTTGGACTTTCCTTGAATAGCGGAGCAGACTTGGTCAAGCCACCTTAAATCTGTTAGGCGCATGCGAGAATGTCTGGGCTAACACGCATGCATTCTGTGAAGAAGGTAGCCAGAAGCTCTGCATGGACATACAGAAGCTCTGCATGTACTATGTAGAGGCTCTGCATATGTAGAAGCTCTGCATGTACTATGTAGAGGCTCTAGGTCTTGGAGTTGTTGCTATAAGTCAAGCGCTTATGCTTTTAGGCGCACAAGGCTTGAGCGTTCACGGAGATAGAGCGCGGGCTCTTTATGAAAGGAACATTCACTCTGAGTAAGAGCTCTGGTCCTTGATCTTCTGCATGAGAGCTCTTAGCCAGACAACTTCTATAGACTAAGTCCTATTGACTAGAGCAAGACACTTCTTACTTACACTTTCACAAGTTGGGGTCTAACAATCTCCCTCTAAGTGTAAATAAGAAGGACTCTTACTTGGTTTACAAACAAAAGTCTAATCAAAGACAGAGGTTAAAAGGAACCTCTGGTTTACATTAACTATCTAATGAAGTACAATAAGAATGGAAATGGAAATTACATCGATTTAAAGATAGAAAAGTACTTACAAAAGATAGAAGGTCTAAACTCTTTGAAGTCTAATGAACTTCCTAAGAAGTTCACGAAACTCAAGCATATTTCATATCGACCTTAGGATAATCTTGGCTCGCTCCTTGGCTCCAGGGGAGTTGTCTCTGCTCCTGACTAGATTGTCTCGTATGTAGCACAGAGTAGAGTTGGAGTACTTGTAATTCTGGTTGTCTTGAAAGAATATCTCTTGTTTATGCTTGTTTCAAAACACCACTCCCACTTCTGGTTCCACCAAAACCGTCCAGGAGGGGATGCTATTGATGCCCTGCAAATCTTCATTTGGAGCAACGACTGTCAGTTGATCCACTCCTTGATCCAGAGCTAGTTGGAAGTCGAACTTGCTTCTGAAGTCGAGCAGATCTGTCATTGTTTGGCGAACAACAGAGTTGGCAATAACGTACTTTACTCCCTTGTCCTTCTTGTGATCTATAAAGTAGAACAAATGAAGAAGATCCCATGGATTTAGATTAATGAGGTCACAATATATGAACCTACATATCTGTCCGCGAGTCCTCTCTATTGTATACTCGTAGAACACTATCTGATTATGCACAAAGGTGCACTTCTTTATGTCCAGGACTTGTTTTATTCCATCAGCAAAGTGGACTGCAGTGATTGGTTGAGTGTAGCGATCGAGGAATCTCTGCCTGATGTGCTCTTGAACCATAGGATGGAGACTGATCTTCTGGACTGGTGTTTCTTCTCTTAAGTTGTAGAGGAACTGGTAGCTCTCCTTGCTGTCTGCTTTGTCCATGATGGGTTTGTCGAGGGGTGTTGGCATGAACATGACATCCATACTTGCTTTGATCCTTTGGACATGATCAGAAGGATGCTTCCATTTTTTCCCGCTGGTTGTGCCTTCTGAGTCTGCTCTGTTTGAATTGACAGGTACCTGCTGCCTCATGGCAGGAATGACAACCCTGGTCCCTTGGGCAGGGACCCTAGCTCTGTGGGTTTTTGGATGTGGTGGAGGAGCATCAACGGTTACTTCTTCTAGAGGAATGGCAATCGGAATGTGTAAAAGTGACGGATCAGCCACATTCATGGTGACCACCTCTTCTTCTTGTTGTGCTATTGTTGAAGGAGCAACCATGTTCATTGCATACTCTGTTGATGAGGACAGATCCAGGTCAGAATCAGACGATCCATAGACAGATAAGAGATCTATAACCTCTGTGTTCTTTTGTAGCCCAGCTGGCTCTGCCTGTGATGCCATGGGCATTTTCCCTTTACAAAGTGCCTCTGCGTTGTCTGATGCTGGTTGGCTTTGTCTGCTCTGCCTTGAAGGTTTTTGAGCTTGTTGGTGTGGGGCAGAGGACGTTGGTGCTTAGGATGGTTGTAGGAAAGTTTTCCCCCTCTTGACGATTTTGTGGACGAGACTCGTCTGGGTCCTCATCATCGTCAAGTCGCCTCCTCGTTGATGGTTCTGTACAAGAAGATGGATCCCTTTGTCGCTTTGGTCTCTCGTCCTCTGCTCGAGGAATCAATTTGATCATCTCCTCAATGACTTTGAGGAGTTCGTCGACTGCAACCCCAACCTTTCGCATTTCATCGTCTGAGCGGTAGTTTAATCTAACAAGTGTATCGTTGATATCCTTCGCTGCTTTTGTCGCTTTGCTATTGAAGTCTGTAGTGAAGTCCTCCACCTTTTGTAGAAGTCTGTCACCCAGAGCTTTCATTGCGCTCTGTGTGACATAATCCATATGTACACTCAGAGGAATGAGGGCCTGGGTGCCATGAGATGTAGACGCCTCAACCCTCTGTATTGATGCCACGACCTGTTGTAATGTCTCTATATTGTGTGCCGTCAATTCCATGAGTGTATTTTTATGAGAAGCATTCGTCATAGACTCAGCTCTTAATACTGCTAAGAATGCTCATATCTCATCCAGAGCAGGTGTAGAAGGTGACGACTCTTCATGGGCCATGATGAGTTTAAGCTCTTCCAAGGAGCATCACATAGAGGTGAAAAGGAAATGGAACTCTTCCCTAGTGACATATGCAGATGGTGTAACCTCTGGCTCAATACATGGGGCCAGATTGAGTCCTCGTTCTAGGGATGCCTTCATTCACGACTTGTTTGACGTTGGTCGGGGAAGGACTTCCAGAGGATCCTCGTGGTTCTCCTTGAGGAGAATGTACTACCTCTATTCTATCAGGGAGAGGACCCAAGGCTGGTTTAGAGCCAGCCAGAGGGCTCTCCATGAGTGGACTAAAAGACTGGTAGAGAGTCTCAAAGTCTGGTGCACCTATTCCTTGCTCTGAACAAGGTTGGGAGTCTACACGTGCAGAGGAAACAAATTCCTCTGTATGGGAAAGTGGCGTGATATGGGGAGACATATCACTTATGTTTTCAAAGGTTGCACCCTTTTGAGAGGGTGTTCCCTGTGGTGAGGCTTCCCTTTGGCTAATATAACCAGTGGCAGATGCGACCTCTGGCTGGATAGGCTGGTTAGGGTTCGAGGTATGCACCTCTATTTCACTGGGAGTCAGATAATATGTTTGCACTGGGAGTTGGGGAGGTAAATCTAGTGTGCCTATTTAGCCTAGGCTACTCTGGCCCACCCTGAGGCAGAGCAATTGCTGCACCTCCTCACTTTTCTTCTTCTTCTTCCTCCTCGCTCTCCTCTTCTTCTTCCTCACTTTCTTTTTCTTTCTCACTCTCTTCTTCTTCACTCTCTTCCTCTTCTTCCTCACTCTCCTCGCTTGTGTAAGACCTTGCAGCATCGTCGTAATGCTCTCGGTCATCCCCTTGGTTTGGACTAGAGGAGTGAGCCAAGGTTTGACGAGCCTCTTCTTCTGCTCTGAGTCTGGCCTCTTCCCTCAGTCGAGCGATTTCTGCTTGGCGAGCTTTTTCTGCTCGCTCCTCCTCTGCTCTAGCATGAGCAAGCTCAGCTAATCTCTCTTGCTCTGCTCGCTCTACCTCCTTCTTCTCCCTCTCAGCTTTCTTTTTCCTCGCCTCCTCACGTTTTCTTTCTTTTTCTCTCTCTTGTTGTACACTCACCCTTTTTTCCTCTACTCTCATTCTCTCTTTTCCTGCTCTCACCGTTTCCCCCTCTGCCTGAGGCCTTGATGTGTCCTCAGTCCTCTCTTCTTCCTCGGTTGTTTCTATGCGTAACGAGGTTCGAGACACTGGTCCTAGTGTCTCGCGTATACGTCTGTACACTCTTCTAATCTCTTTGGACTTCATATAGCTCATGAGCCTCTTTGGAATAGGCCTCTCTGCTTCATAACCTTCCTTGTTCACTGTAGGTCTGTATTGAGTGAGCACGTTTACCTTGTGAGCAGGTAGACGACCCACATCAATATTGTTGTCATCGAGAGCTGGTCTTAGGAGAAGACCCAAGAATCGTGGAAATAACAGAGACGACAACTGTTTTCCTTTGGCCACTTCTTGAAACTTCTTCGCCACCGCGGCCTTGTACTCTGTGTAGAGTATCAAGGAGTAGTCGAGAGATAAGTTGAAGAAGATACCGTAGACGATTTTAAATACGCTCGTGGAGCACATGTCGAGGCTCCCTATCTTCCCTGTCAGTGATCTGTTGACCAATGTGAAAAGCGTGTTCCACATTGGTGGTAGGTATTGACGGCGATATTGTGACGGGTACTGGATGGCCTTGTTGTACCCCAAAAACTTCAAGAAGGCCACTATCTCGTCCCCAGATGGGAGAGGGGCGTACTCAGAAAGCCCTAGGTACAATTTTCGTTGGGATTTCAAGAACCCGCGAAAACATAGACCTTGAAATACGAACTGTGACGAATTCCTGTGTGGCAGAGACAAAGAAATTGCCTACGATTCCTCTTTGAGATTCAGTTACAGCATAAGATTGCCAGTATTCTTGGATGTACCTTTCAGGAACAAGGTCATCCGTGTTTGTCAAGGCTGGGTTTAAGAAGTGATTTTGGAGGATATTTATGATGGGATGGTATTTGGTGTCGAAGTTTTCAAGTTGGAGGTTTAGGGCACGGTTATTCAGTTTGATAGGAAAAGGAAATAGGTTTTGACTGGTATCTTCCATAGTTTTGTGGGTTGTGGTGTGGGTTTGGGAGTTTCCAGATTCGGTTTGGAAGTTTCCAGATTCGGATGAGGACATTTTTGTAGGTTTTGGGTGTGGAGGAAGATTTTAAAGAAAGCTAGGGTTTCAAGAACCAGTTATTCATTCGAGAATGGGTTGGAGAAAAGGATTTATGGGACTTACTTGACAAACGGGATGAACGGTTGAAGACTGAATCGATCTTTGAACACTGGTTTGAGAGCTTGAAGTTGCAGCAATGACGGTTGAAGGTTGAAGATGACGGAAGTTCTTGAAATTTTTTGTAAGCGTACAAGATTAATTTGGGGGTAAAATTTGTTTAAATAGAATAAAATAAAACACTTGAGTGTTTTAGCGCCCCAAACGTCAGGTTAAAACTGAACCAGTTTCTCATAGCCTGTGGGGGCGCGCCACATGGACTGCCAGCTGCAAGTGGCACCTCCCACGTTTGAAAAATTATTTTCACAGGCGGTGATACTTCTTAGATGACAACTTTTATTAAAAAATTAAAAGAAACCTTACGCCTTCTTAATAAAATAATATATTTTGATTTTAAAAAAAAATTTCTAAGTGTAAGTACTCTGGTTTGTAAGAAGTAGAGTTTTTGCAAAGAACCAAAGTACTACATGCAGAAGAAGACAACATACCTTAGGATCTTATACAGAGACTCGTGATTGGACTATATATGTCCTCTGTAGAAAACTTACTATGTTTAGAGGCAGAGGCTCTGTATAGTACATACAGAGGCTCTGTGTGACATGATCTCGTGCTCCCCCTTGACTTGAGCTCTTCTTATCTGCTCCCCCTTGAACTATGCTTGGATCAGTTGTGATAAGTAGAGCATATACATAATAATCAAGGTATAGAGGCTCTGTATGTGCTATACAGAGGCTCTGTATAACAAAACAACTAGGACCGAAGTAAGAAGCTCTGCATGTACTATGCAGAGGCTCTGTCTCATGGACCAATACTATAAACTACAAAATAGAAGTATGCATAAAGGGATGCAGAGGCACTGGCTTAGTTTGAAAGATTTAGCATACCCAACTTGCTAACTAGAAAATTAAATCTCTTTTCATCAAGAGCTTTTGTAAAGATGTCAGCAAGTTGTAAATCTGTACTGACAAAGAACATTTCAATTGTACCTTTCTCTATATGGTCCTTGATGAAATGGTATCGAACATCGATGTGCTTTGTTTTTGAGTGTTACACAGGATTGGCTGTGATTGCGATAACACTCTCTGAGTCACACAGAATTGGAATCTTCTCAAATTCTACGCCATAGTCTTTCAGTTGAGTCTTCATCCATATCACTTGGGAACAACAACTGGCTGCAGCTACATACTCTGCTTCAACTGTGGAAGTAGAGACACAGTTCTGCTTCTTCGAGGTCCATCTTATGAGCTTGTCCCCAAGTAATTGGCAACTCCCTGATGTACTCTTTCGATCGAGTTTACAACTTGCATGATCAAAATCTGTTACGCAATAAGATCAAAACCAGAATACTTTGGATACCAAAGACCCAAAAATTGAGTCCCTTTAAGGTATCTAAAGATTCTTTTGACAGCCGAAAGGTGAGATTCCTTTGGATTTGCTTGAAAACGCGCACAGAGACATGTGGCAAACATGATGTCTGGTCTACTAGCCGTGAGGTATAGTAGTGATCCAATCATTCCACGGTAAGTCTTAACATCCATCGGTTTTCCAGATGGATCTGTGTCAAGCTTAGTGCCCGTAGTGATTGGTGTTCTCATGGTGGAAGAGTTATGAAGTTGGTATTTCTTTAATATGTCAGAGACATACTTAGCTTGGCTAATGAAGATACCATCCTCCCTTTGTTTTACTTGCAAGCTGAGGAAGAAGGTCAATTCTCCCATCATGCTCATTTCAAACTCGCTCTTCATCAACGCAGAGAACTTATCACAATGCCTCTGGTTCGTTGAGCCAAAGATAATGTCGTCCACATATATCTGTACTATGAGCATCTCACCTTTATACCTCTTAATAAACAAAGTTGTATCGATTTTACCTTTTTCAAAACCATTAGATAAGAGGAAAGATGAGAGACGTTCATACCAGGCTCGAGGTGCTTGCTTAAGTCCATACAGAGCTTTGTCTAAGAAATAGACATACTCTGGATGTGTGGAGCTCTCAAACCCCGGATGTTGTTGAATGTAGACTTCCTTCTTCAGCTTACCATTCAAGAAGGTTGACTTCACGTTCATTTGATAGACTCGAAATCCCTTATGAGCAGAGAAGGCTAAGAACAAGTGTATAGCTTCTAGCCTTGCTACTGGCGCAAAGGTCTCGTCATAGTCTATGCCTTCTTTCTGGCAATAGCCTTTTGCTACGAGCCTAGCTTTATTTCTCACCACGATCCCATCCTCATCCTTCTTGTTCCTGAAAACCCATTTACAACCAATTGCAAGTTTATCCTTTGGTAAAGGAACAAGAGTCCATGCCTTATTTCTCTCGAATTGTTGGAGCTCATCTTGCATGGCATCGACTCAACTAGGATCTTGTAGGGCTTCATGTACTTTCTTAGGCTCTACCATACTAAGGAAGTTTACGAATAAACATTCATTAGCTGTGGCAGCCCGTGTCTTTATGCCACTTGAAGGTTCACCAATGATCTGGTGAAGAGGATGATCCTTTGTCTATTTTGTTCTTATGACAGATATAGAAGTGGGGGACGTTTGATCACATTTCATGGGCAAGTTTGGCATTAAGCTCATTGATGGCAAAGTAGGCTCTGCTTGCTCCCCCTCAGATGATGGTACAAAGGAACCAGGTGCAGAGCCAGAGGTATTATGCTCTGGTTCTATGTGATTGGGCTCTGATGTAGAGCTTGTTTGCTCTAGTTGTGGATTGATATGATCTTCAGAGGAAGTAGAGGTGTGTGAAGGACCAGAGTCAGATGTGCTTGTCGTTTGTGATCCTTCACCTACACTCGCAGATGCATCTCTTGGTGCACGTACAAAGATGTCTTCGTCACCATAGAAGTCTTCAAATAGAAGCCTGAGATCCAATTCCCTTGACTTCATTTGAGAAATGGAAGTCTGTTGGTTATGATCGAGTCTAGAGCTGAGGTACTCTGAAGTCATATGTTTTTTATCATCGAATGAGACGTTGATGCTTTCCATGACCGTTTTGGTTCATTGATTGAAGACTCTGTATGCCTTGGTTTTTGTTGAATAGCCAAGGAACTTGCCTTCATCTGCCTTCTTATCGAACTTGCCAAGTTGATCTCGATCATTTAGGATGAAGCATCTGTAACCAAAGACATGCAAAAATTTGACGTTAGGCTTTCTTTGGTTAATTAGTTCGCAAAGCGTCTTCATGTGCCTCTTTACCACCGTTGCTCTATTTTGAATAAAGCAGGCAGTATAGATTGCTTCTGCCCAAAAACGGGTTGGAAGACCAGAGCTGGCTAGCATGGTGCGTGCAACCTCGACTAGAGTTCTATTCTTTCTTTCTACGACACCATTTTGTTGTGGTGTCCTTGCTGCAGAGAAGTTCTGAGTTATGCCTTCTGTGTCCAAGTACGCGTTGATCTTGGTGTTCTTGAACTCTGTTCCATTATCGCTTCTCAACTTCTGAATTCTGCTTTGTAGAAGTACTTAAATCTTGGTCATTAATTTGATTAGCAGCTCTAGGACATCTGATTTCTTCCTTACAAACTCAATCCAAGTATATCGTGAGTATTCATCAATTAAGACTAAGATATTCTTTTTACCATACAAGCTCTGCACGGAGATTGGACCACAAAGATCCACATGAAGCATATGCAGAGGTCTGACATAAGACACATCTGTCTTAGTTTTGTGGGATGCTCTTTTGAGCTTTCCCATTTCACATGCAGAGCAGAGATGGTCCTTTTCGAACTTTATGGCAGGAAGTCCGTTAACTAGATTATGCTTCACAAGCTTCTCTGTATTTTGGAAATTTAGATGAGATAGCTTGTGGTGCCAGAGCCAAGCTTCTTCACTCTTGCGAGACACGAGATAGGGCGTCTCTGAATTGTCTCTTGGTGAGAAGTTCATGAGATACAAATTGCCTTTTCTCTTAGCTCTCAGCAACTCCTGACTTGATTCTGACATAATGGAGCAAGCTTCCTTTTGGAACTTGACATATATCCAGAATCACACAGTTGACTTATGCTCAAAAGATTATGTTTAAGCCCAGAGACATAAGCAACCTTAGAGACAGAAACCTTATCTTGTAGTAGATCCCTATATCCCTTTATCTTTCCTTGTTTATTATCCCCAAAGGTCACTTTTCCTCCAATCTTCTCTGTGTATGAGGAGAGCAACATCTTATTGCCAGTCATGTGTCTTGAGCATCCGGAGTCAAGATACAAAATCTCCACATGCGGCTTCTGCAAAACAAATTACAAGGATTTAGGTACCCATTTCATAATGGGTCCTCGATGATTAGGGACAGAGGGTTGCTTTTTAAGCTTTGGAAGAGGCTT